AAAATTTTAAAATTATAACAGTTTGTTTACCCGAACAATAGTACTTTTTTTAATATTGTAAAAGACAGTTACAGTAACATCTTTATCAGTTTGAGTCTAATTTATGAATGTAATTTGTAATTATTTTTATATGGGTAATTAATTATTTTTTTATATATGGTAATCTTTCTTCCCCAATACTAAGTATGATTGAGAGAGATATGAAATTAAACCCTCCCTAAATTCTACCATGTCTCTTTCACTACCCCTTTTACACTCTCTGTTAAATTTCAAAAACTTAAACTACCCATCAATTTTAATTTCATTTTTCCTTTCATTTTTGGAAGTGCTATCTGATTATCCGGCGTCCTTTAAAAGGGCTCTGGTGAAATAAATTATTATAATGGTACCTTAAACTGGTCTGTTTTTTTTTTTTTAAATATTAGCTCTGGATTTACATTGAGCTCTCATGATTTCATCATCCTTGGGATTACCCATACGGATTACCAAGATTATAACTTAACTATATATATATATATATATATATATATATATATATATATATATATATGTATATGTATATGTATATATATTTAAATAAGTTTCTTATGGTACAAAATTTAATAATAGCTAGGAAAAACCAAAATTTGTATGGGATTTTTTTTAAAAAAAACTAAAAATAACAACCAGTTTCGTCCCAGAACTTATCAGTTTTGTTTTTCTGGGATTTCAAAAATATTTAAGCGTGTAAATTAAATTATTCTATCGAATGGAATGGGAAAAAATGAATTTCAAGAAAGTAGAGCCCAATAACATTCAGACCCAATAAGCATTCCCTCTGTTTACAAAGGGAAAGACCACGGGATCTGATATACAAGGACTTTAGAACCTTGAGGTGAAATGTGGAGCGGGACCTAGATAAAAGCAAAAAACGGTCGCCACTAAAATCAACCACACATTTCATACTATTTATTACATGCTTAGTTATTTTTTTTTTATATCACAGAAAAATAAATTTGATAAGTCCTAGGACGAAACCGGTTGTTCTTTTTAGAAATGCCATACAAATTTTGCTTTTATATATATATATATATATATATATATATATATATATATATATATATAATTATTTATTTTTAAAAATTTGGAATCATATTTTAAATAAATAATTATATTTATGCTCTACTTTTTTAAAAATAATAACTAAAATACTAAGGGACTTTGGATTATTTACCTAACCAGTTCCTTCCTATTTTATATATATTTTCGCATATATATATATATATATATAATAAAAGGCTTAAATACTAATATACCATGGTCATAATTTATTCCAATAGAATCGTAAATATGTATGCCTATGTATGTTTATATATATATATATATATATATATATATATATATATATATATATATATATATATATATCAAATGGAGAGAAAATTAATTAATATATTTTCTGTTTCTACGTGATATTTATAGCTTCCTTGTTTTTAAATAAAAATGGTAATTATATTTACTTTCGGGTTTTCCGAGAGGAATCGAACCTGTATTCCTTCAAGAAAACAGTCATTTAACCCGATGGTCTGTACTATTCACCTACAGAGAAGCCTCTGGTTATCTATGTCCGAATTACTCTTTATAAACACACAATCTTCGACGATTTTTCTCGGTCAACCTTTTTTGCTCACGAAAAGTATCTTAATGTAGACATTTGATCTACTAGTATTTACATGCAATATGAATCGTTGTCATCTGTCTTCCTAATTCTTGTTCTTTTATTTTTCCCGCTTTCTAATAAACTTAAACTCAGTAACTGCTTGCATTTTATTGCTTTGCTTGGGGTGAAATGATTAAAAAGTACGTGAGTCAAAAGTTTATCAATGTCGATTAAAAACCGACACTAAATTATTAACTCTTTATTATTATTTTTTTTACCTTTACACAATGTTGAAATATCCCCAGTACTGTCGTATTTAGTGAGGAGAAAAAGTACTCTTCTCTTGAGAATTGTTTAAACAAAGAAAGACTCGACATTTGCAGGCACGCCGCTGACTGGTGTCCTTTCAAAGAGACAGGGTAGTTTGTTTTAGATGGATTTCTATTGAGTGAGGGAACAAATCGCTATTGATAAAACGGAAGGAAGCAAGCAAAGAATATTTAGAACGAAAAATACAAAAAGGATGAAAGAAAGAACATTGCCATTAACGTTTCAATGAATTGTTAGAGAAAGGGAGGATTTTAAGAAAATCAAATGAAGACAGATGGTTTTGCGAGAAAAAAAAACGTAGTAAAGGGAGGTAACCCGCAGAAAACCATTAATATTTAATAAGCGTCGGCCTTCTCCAGACACTTGAATATGGTTATTTTAATTTTTAGAACAATTCACTACCAACACATCTCTTTCTATTGCAGGTGTCGAAATAGCCATGTGTCGTAAACCCTGTTAAACTGAAATTCACAAAAGAGTTATTAATCAGCATTGGTTTTGTGCAAGCGTTTTATTTTACGTGTCTTTTCCATAAAAAAAAAGGTTCGAAGAAGTTATTTCAGGAAATGAATGTGTGATAAAAAAATCTTCGGCCCGCAATTCTGAATTATTGATCGCAAGCATTTTCATAAAGTAAACCTTAATTAAATGTTTTCTTTTCTTTTCTTTTTTTTTTTAAATAACAACTGTCATACTAAAAATAAAATGATTAATCCTTTTTCCATTTACTTGATGGCGAACTAATTAATAAAATTTATCTAAATTATTTTTATATATACGAGGTGCGTTCAAAACGTAAACAACATTATATTTTCGCGCCGAAAATAATGGCGCGTGGGTAAAATCATTAACGTGGATGTTGACGTATGCATGAATATTTTCGCGCCGGTAGATCTCGTCAGTTGTCGGTGTTTTGGCGATATAACTTTGAAGGTAAACCCTAATTTCCTTTTGACAGATTGGCAAGGATAGCATTAGAAACCAAGAGCGAAAATGATGGAAATTGGGGGAGACATGTTCACGTACAGTAGAACAAGTGCACTGAAACAAAATCCCAGAATACACACACACACATATATATAAATATAAATATATATATTAAGAAATGGACAATGTCCGACAATTTATTTATTAAAGACATTTTTATGTTTAACGTTCTTTTTTTATAGATACAAGTATTTAAATAAACAGTATTAAATAACATTTACCGGCCTGAATGTCCGAGAAATTTTCATAGAAAATATTCGTTCTTTGACAGGATTCGAACCTGCATCCTATACGGAACCGTCATTTACGCTGACGTGCCTTACCGATCGGCCACAATTAATTTCTTATTATATGACGTCATTTGTTTACATTTGATACGCCATGAGCAGTTATGAATGTACGAGATTCATGGAAGATTGAAGTTTATAAGCAGTAAATTCGACCTTGTCTACCGAACGCTTCTTTGTGGCCGATCGATAAGGCACGTCAGCGTAAATGACGGTTCCGTATAGGATGCAGGTTCGAATCCTGTCAAAGAACGAATATTTTCTATGAAAATTTCTCGGACATTCATGCCGGTAAATGTTATTTAATACTGTTTATTATAAACAGAGCATTTACTTATTAAATACTTGTATCTATAAAAAGAACGTTAAACATAAAAATGTCTTTATATATATATATATATATATATATATATATGTTCAGTTTATGCAAAACTAGGTAATCCGTATGGGTAGACCCAAGGAGGATGATATCCAGTGAGCTCAATGTAAATTCAGAGCAAATATGTTTGAATAAAAAACAGACCACTTTAAGGTTCCATGTAATAAATTATTTCACCACAGTCCTTTTAAATGGATCTGGATCATCAGACTTTACTTCCAAAAGTTAAAATGAAAAGAAATTTACATATTTTTGACGGGCCGTATTAAGCATATGTAAATTAACGTAGTGAGGAAGTGAGGGAGGAGAAAAGACGAAGTGAGGAAGTGAGTGGGGAGAGAAGACATGAGTGAGTTAGATGTACCATTTCAATTCTTTATACCTAACCCCACTTGGTGTGGGCCAGACATCGCTTCATTTGACTTATGTTATCTTTAGATATGGATGGGTAAGTGGTGAAGAGGAAAGATTAACATAGATAGATAGGTAGATAGATAGATAGATAGATAGATAGATGTGAAAAGACTGAGATAGATAGATAGATAGAACAAACGAAGAGACGAAGGTAGATATGTTTCGATTGAGTTACTGAGCTAAATAGATTTCTTCTCTGTCTTACCTTGCTTTTCACACCTTTTTACATATGTACAGATTGAAATGTATATAAATATATAATTTAATATATATATATATATATAATTTATATATATATATATATATATATAATTTATATATATATATATATATATATATATATATATATGTGTGTGTGAAAATATATAGAAAATAGGAAGGAACCGGTTAGGTAAATAATCCAAAGTCCATTAGTATTTTAGTTATTATTTTTAAAAAATAGTTATCGATACAAAAGTAGAGTTAAAATAAGCTCTGTTCCATATTTCGCTTGAAGATGGAACAGAGCTTATTTTAACTCCATTTAATTTAAATAATTTAAATAATTATATTGAAGTTTTCGGCCCTTGTTTTGAAACATGGGACTTCTTATATCGCGATTTGGAATCATATTTTTAAATAAATAAATATATATATATATATATATATATATATATATATATATATATATATATATCATGTTTTGGCAATATGACTTTCAAGGTAAAACCCTATCTAATTCCCTTTATATTTTTGCTTACATTGTTGACAAATAAATCACCAAGCTATAAAGATTGTAACAACAGCCCCCACCCCCCGCCACCATTTTTTCTCGTTCCTTGTCTTCTCTCTCTCTCTGTGATATTGAAAGCGAGTTTTCGTTCGGGGCGGAATTTCATGTTGATCGTATCTCAACCATTTTTCGACGTCACGTTTGTTTTGAACTGCAACATCCACGCCGTTGATATTTCTAATATTCTCACGGATGTTTCTCATCCTGGCCTTCGTCTCATCTTTCTGTTCACATTGGCACGTGCGACCAGAATATGTTTTGACATCCATCAGCACACAATCACGTATGAGGATATATATATATATATATATATATATATATATATATATATATATATATATATATATATATTAAATTATATATTTATATATATTTGTATCTGCATAGATGTAAAAAGATGTGAAAAGCTAGGTAGGACAGAGAAAAAATCTATTTAGCTCAGTAACTCAATCGAAACATATCTATCTTCGTTTATTCGTTTGTTGTATATATCTATCTATCTATCTATCTGTGTATCTATCTCAGTCTTTTCACATCTATCTACCCATCTATCTATCTATGTTAATCTATTCATATCTATCTATTTATCTATTTCTGTCTCATCACTTGGATCTATGTATGTTAGTCTATTCATATCTATCTCTCTATCTATCTCAGTCTATTGACATCTATCTATCTATCTATCTATCTATCTATCTATCTATCTATCTATCTATCTATCTATCTCAGTTCCAATTTCATTCTTTACTTATGCATCAAGCTATCTTAATCTATCTATCTATCTATCTAACTATCTATCTATCTCAATCTTCTCACATCTATCTACCTATCTATCTATCTATGTTAATCTATTCATATATATCTATTTATCTGTCTCATCACTTCGATCTATGTATTTTAGTCTATTTCTATCTATCTATCTATCTATCTCGGTCTCTTCATATCTATCTATCTATCTATCTATCTATCTATCTCAGTCTCCTCGCATCTATCTATTTGTCTCTTTATATCTATCTATCTATCTATCCATCTCAATCTTTTTTCTGTCTATTTATATATCAGCGTCTATCCATTTCTTCCATCTATCGCAATATCAATCCACACCAAGAAATTATAAATTTTAAAACTGTGTTTTTTTTTCTCCTTATTAAATTTCTCGCACTCATTTGAAATTATAAATTTTAAATCAAACTTTGATTTTATTTCTTTACATTTTTGTTACTCTTTCGAAATGATGAATTTTAAATCAAAGTTTTAAATCAATTTTAATTTAATTTTTTGCACTGTTTTGAAATTATAAATTTTAAATCAAAATTTGTTTAGCATGCCTCGCAACAAATTCAGCCCTCAGAATAAAATGTTACGAAATGTTTTTTCGTAAGTACTGATGATATTCGAGGTACTTACAAAGAATGTTTCACAATTTAAAAAGACAAAATCAGGAAACATGGATTAAACACGTATTTCTCTTCAATGAAGCAAGGAGGATGTTATGAGCCGGAGGATAGGCGAACCTATCTACTCCTGTTGAGGAAAAAAATAAATTAATATTAAATAAAATTTCAGAGTTTAGTTGGAGACGTTAGTACAGAATCGAAGCAGACGTTAGACGGAACCGGAAAAGCAGTCCTAAACAGGAAACATAGATTAAACACGTATTTCTCTTCAATGGACCAAGGAGGAGGTTATGAGCCGGATGATAGGCGAACCTATCTACTCCTGTTGAGGAAAAAATTAACTTAATATTAAATAAAATTTCAGATTTTAGGTGGAGACGTTTGTACAGAATTGAAGCAGACTTCAGAAGGAACCGGAAACGCAATCCTAAACAGGAAACATGGATTAAACATCTACTTCTTTTCAAAAGACAGTGGAGGAGTGTGAGCCGGGTGATAAGCTGACATATCTCGTCGTATTGATAATTTAAAAAGTCGATATCATTTTGGTTAATTTCCAGTAGACTTAGTATCAGAGGTAAGATCTATGCGTGCACTGATTCATGGTGGCCCCCACTTTTCTGTGATCTTCATGTCCCACGACATACAATTCTCATGAGATCATAGTTGGTCATAAGCCTGATGTTGTTATACTGCTAAATCTTTAAGTAAGGACATCCTGTCCTTGTTTTTTTCCCAAAATATTTAGGAAAGATTGTGACCTTATTCTTGCGAGAACGAAGTAAATGTCGGTTCAACCAATCTTCAGTTTCTCTCCCCGAAGAAGAATCGACATACTGTGATTTCTCATAACGCATCATTAGCCAAAACCACCTTAAGGAGCTGATCCCAATCGTCACTTTCCAGTCTTGATAGAGTTCAAAAGCGTCTAGGAGTCCTTGTAGGAGAAGAATTGTTTACCTACTTCCAACATCTCTCTTGTAGACGGGTTGTGGTAAAACTCTCTCTGCTTTATCGCTACTTCCATTGAAAGTGCTCGGACGACGAACTACATTCCTTGGTTCTGCTAGGTATAACGTTCACGGCTAGGACCCCTTATGCCATTTACATAGTAGCAAACCGCCCACATTTCCTCCAAGAATTGACAAGAATTTCTACTCAGCTTCTTGCCGGGAACCCTGTCCAATGGAATAGATTCCCAAAATGAAGTTTCCCCGATCAGGATAAATCTTAAACTGTTCAAGTCAAGAATTAACCGTTCACTTGAATCTCCTGTCCATATAGGCTACGCCTTGAAGTAATCCTCTAGCGCAAGTGGCCCCCGGGGCTTGTACAAGGTAAATCTTACTGTAAAAAAAATAGAAAATTAAAAATCGTAGCATAGTACATTAAGCAGGATTTATTCGCTCTCTATGGCTAATACAATTATAGTCTCACTGAATATATTTTTTGTCTATATTTGATCATCATGAACTCCCTCCGGGTCGCATATAATAAAGAGATAATCTGATTTGAACGGTCCTCTCGTGACAATAAAATCATGGCTTCCTAGTTTAAGAGTAAAATTAACTCGATTTTCTTTCTATCAACAGTAAGTATGAAAAAACAATTTATATTCAATATGATATCGAAGGTATATTAGCGTGTTCAGTGAAAAATTACATCGTTCGTTTTGAATTCTTAAAGCAGTTCTGTAAATTGCCGTGATCAAGCTTTGTTTTTATGCCTAAAAATATATCCAGAACAAGGAAACGCTTTATATGGCGGGTATAAAATACAATTTTTTTTTCCAGCGAGTTATCAACAAGTGGGGCAGTAATCCTAATAATTACTGTACACCCTAGGTTGCCACAAATATCTCCCACTAAAACATGTGTTAGGTGAACATATTTGGCATATTAACACTGAAATTAATATAAAATACTGAAACACTATCACAAATTCAGTATTCTATTAACGCTACAGCAGTCATCTTTTGTTTGCTTACATCACTGCTGCAAATGGCGGATGAGTTATACTGAGTTTTACAATTACATACGATACGTATCAGTACTATAAAAAGATCTGGTGTGATGTGTAATCTACGGTATTAATAATTTATTGGGGTTGATTTTGAATTTAATTAGTTTATCAGTAAATTTGACGAATTTTAAATGTTCGATGTTATACCAATATACGGTACCTACAGGTATGTGTTGTAAATTGTTTGGTATACAACGCATACAGAAAGATATTATGTATAAATGCACAGCTATGTGGTGTCACCTTATGTAGATTTGACACAGGTTATTGTAAACTATAGCCAAACTTCATTTACTGGTAGGCGTAAGTTTTGGACCACTATTAGCCAATCGTACGTTTGGGGGTCGACTTGTAAGTTAGGTATAGACCTAATTCAAAATTTTTAGTTAAAAATGTTGAGATCGACTAGATAAACATGTACAACGAAATTTACGGTACCTACTGTGTTCACATCCAATGTTTGGCCTTATTAACCTTCATAAGTGGTCGATGAATGTCAATCGATTTATTTATTTATTTATTTTATTTTATTTTATTTTTTTTTTTTTTTTTGCACTGGAGGAATTCTATTACATGAATCTGTTTAGAACGCACTTTCATATTAGAAGCCACATTGCAGATAAAAAAAATCTGTAATATCTGTGATTATGTCCCACTAGGGGTTAAATTGTGGCATGAATCTCAAGAGAAAGGAGTCTCAACTGAATATATGACAGGTATGATACTAAAAGGAAAGCCTGTCAAGCCATAAGCATTAAATGATATTCCTTTGAGTTTATTAGATAAGGCATTGTTAACAGTTATTCATTTTTTATTAGTATTTCTTTCATCATATTTTTCTTGCTTTTCCACCAAGTAGTAATAGTCTTAAGTTGTCTGAATTCCTTAGATGAAGCCTTGTCAACTATTCATTTTTGACTAGTATTTCTTTCATCTTAATTTCAATTGCTTTATTTTATTGCAACTCATGGATTGTTATACTCTAGCCATTAAGTTGATATGAATTGGCCACCTTCATGTGAGAGCTATCTTATGATGAAAGTGCTTGACTGGTTTAAATATGGAAGCCAAACATTGCTGTTCCTTTCGAGTTCAGCAACTGTAAAATGTTAAAATAAAAGCGCTTATTGATGCAAAATGAGAGTTTCAAATAAATATAAGTAGTGTAATCTTATGTAGTTTTGGCACAGGTTATCGTATACATTTTCATGTTATTTAAAGCCAGAAAATATTTTCAGATTGTAAGTCTGCTTTTTTTTGGGGGGGGATAATAATAGAACTGGTGTTCTAACATGTCGTGACCATAAGCCACACCAGACACTGCAACCGTAAATATTCCAGATTGCAGCACCTGATAATCCCAGCCAGTTACCCATCTAGGTACTGTCTCCACGTTTCTTAATATCGGCGTTCTTACGGGAACCGGTGATTCAAAGTTATACGGCCGTAAACACTGCTTGTTTTGTGTTTTATTATCTGAGTTGATTTGTAATCGTTCTTTTTTTCAAATAAGAGATTTTAAATTGGGTAAATCTTTAGAAAACAATACATGTCTCTAATACGACCCCCTTCTTGACTTTAATTTCCTTTCCAAATTTCCCAAATAACAAACATTGTTCACATATTGAAAACCTTTTGTAAACAATTGTTATTGACGCCTGCTTACTTTCTTTGATCGATTCCTTTTTTACGGTGTATCAAACGTTTACATGTTATTTAAAGCCATAAAAATATTTTCAGATTATACGTCTCTGGGGTGGGGCAGGAGAGAATAATGATTTAGTGATAGAATTTTTAATAATTAAGCTATAACTTGGATCGAGATAAGAAATGAATTCATAACTTTCCAAAGGGTATTTGCACGTATGTGAATATTATGAACCTAACTGAAATTTGAACACAGCACCCCGATTAACAATTCTGGGCCCTTATTCATTACACCACTCACACATCCAATTTTTCAGCACCAGTTATTCCCAAGCGGTCACCCATCGAGGTACGGATCAGACTCAATTCTGGATGACTTCGGTGATCATACGATAATCCTTGTTGCAAAGTTATATAACAATAAGCTACACCAGCCGCATATCAAAGCATACAGTACCTGGTATTTCCAAGCTGTCACTCATCTAGGCGCTGACCAAGCACGACGTTGCTTCACTACGTTGATCGTAAGAGAACTAGTGTTGCAAAGTTATATAACACTAAGCCACATTCGTCGTATATCCAAGCTTTGAGCACCTGGTGTTTCCAAGTGGTCACCCATCTAAATAATGACCAAGCACGACATTGCTTCATAACTTTGATCATAAAAGAACTGGTGTTACAAACTTATATAACAATAAGCCACACCAGCTGTACATCGAAGATTAGAGCACCTGGTGTTTCAAGCGGTCACACATCTAGTCTCTGACCAAGCATGACATTGCTTCACTACGTTGCTTGCAAGAGAACTGGTGTTGCAAAGTTATATAACACACCAACCGTGCATCCAAGCTTAGAGCACCTGGTATTTCCAAGCAGTCACCCATCACGGTACTGACCTAGCACAACATTGCTTCACTAGGGTGATCGTACAAGAACTGCTGTGGAGAAGATATATAACAATAAGCCACACCAAGCTTAGTGCACTTGGTATTTCCAAGCAGTCACCCATCTAGGCACTGAACAAGCACGACGTTGCTTCACAACGTTGATCGTACTAGAACCAGTGTTCCAAAGTTATATGACAATATGCCACACCAGCCGGAGATCCAAGCTTAGAGCACATCGTATTTCCAAGCGGTCACCCATCTAGATACTGCCCAAGCACGACGTTGCTTCACTAATTTGATCATAAGAGAAAGGCTGTTGCAAAGTTACACCACCCGCACATATATAACGAACCTTACTGAAATTTGAACTCGGCTGCCCGATTAACAACACGACTGCCTATTTGCCTTTAATTTTCGTTCGAATTTTCTCCCATTACTTTTTTTAAATTTTTATTTTAAAATAAAAAGAAAGGCATCTAGTTGATACAAAGGCATAATAGCTTCATATAAATTGGCTAAACTTTCTGATATATCAATTCAATCAAATATGACCCGACTTAAATGCTTTTCTGCTATCTCAAAATCGGCAAAGGTCTATATAAATCGCTGTATCCTGTGATACAACTTAATATCTTAAAATATTTATAAGCAAAAGCATCTAACCTTTGTCGTGTCCACTAAAATATCAACTACAATATTTATAAACCAATCACACTCAAGAAAACACTTACATCTTAAAACACACCAATGAAATCATAGATTACAAATCAGAATGTTTGTTGTATTAGTCATCATCATTTTTAGGTAGATACCGACCAAATATCGTACGGACGTAGTAGAAGACATACCACGTGACTTCTTAGGGCCAATTAGAAATAAATAAATAATTAATTCTGGAGCCGATATTGTTCGGAAAAAGTGTATAAAAACATACGAAATCCGTTCCCAAAACAATATACACGGGGCTGTCACCAAACTACACACAATTCTCGTTGATGACCTTCATGACCTCATGTTAAAAACGATAGCGTTGACAAACTCCAGTCCACGGCAACACCGCCAAAAGTAAGAAACAATTCGTATCTCTCGTATCTGTTTTTACTATGAATCACGCACACACATGTTGACTTTTTCATACAAACACACATATCACATTTTATTGTTTCTCACACACATACACAAAGACAGTTTATATTTTATTTCAGAACTTTATCAACCCAAACAAAAGACATTACTTTCCAATCTATCACCAACTGTTTGTATTCTTATGGCTATATTAAATTAATGTTTATTTGT